ATAAGCTGCTGGCATGCTGCTCCTGAAAATAGTGGTGTCTTAAAACTCTCCATTATGTAGAAATACGTGGGTGGTTCGAGTACATTATGGAATGGTCTCTTGCAGTGAACTCATGGCAGCTTGTGAGCTAATGCACGCAGATTTGAAGTGGAGATATGAGTTTAAAAAAGGAACACCTATGCCAAACTCGACACAGACCCAAGCACAGATTTGTTTTTAGAAACCCGTCAGCTGCACCTTTTCATGTGAATGACATTTGGCATTTCTTCTAAGACAAGGAATTTAGCTCATTTTCTTTTGGATCAGAGGGGTCCGTCTCCGGCAGTCTGGCAACCCTGGGAGCCAAATACAAACATCCCGGTGGGGGGCCCTTAGTGTGACCTCAGTACAGACAGGACACAATCTATCCAGCAAGAACACTCCGGGGGAGGGTAGAAGGAGGGACTTCCGACTAAGAGCCTCCTTGTTTTGGCTCTGTTGTTGCAGGAAAGCCACAAATATTAAAAAGGTCATATATTATGTAAAATACACTTTAACATGTTTTTCGAACACTAATATGTGTCCCTAGTCAGGCTACAAGACCCCCACTTACGAGAAAAGTCCATCTTCATCATTTGCCTGATCCAAATTTCAGTAAATGTGTGCTCAAACAGGCTGTTTGGAGTTTTCCCTGCCCCAAGTGGGTGATACTCCCACAGCTACGTGTTTGTTCTGCCCTCTGAGTCTGCCTTCTCACTATAAACAATTGGGCATGGTGCAAGAAAGCCCTAGCCCTTCCAGAGAGGGCCGTGGTCGAACCCAGCTCAACTGCATTTAAAGCTACAGACACAGAAACAGCCTGTTCTGAGCAGGGCTGAAATAGAGGGGTTTATAGACATGCTGAAAAACAGGATCAGAGTGGATTTGTATCAAGAAACTTCACAGACATGTTTTGTGAGCTCTTAGACCTCTTTAAACTTGTGGAGAAAGAGTATAACACGTGATCTTTAAGTAAAATTTGGCAGTAAAGTGTCATTAAATAGTCTGTTAAAAAAGAAAGCCGTGTTTAGAAGGAAGTCCTCATGTGATTTCTAAACAACATTATAGGATTTCCAAAGTAGATGATATAAACTTTCTGGTAAGTCAACAAGAATGCTTACTTGTACTTTCAAATAACTTTCTGGTTATTAGAATCATCTGACTGGAAATCTTCAGGGTCATGCTCTTACTCATCACAAGCTGTAAGTAAACTGGTACATGGGAGTATGTCTATGCTCCCTTGTGTTCGTGGTCCAGTACTGCGGCATGATATCAAACAAGATAAATTTACACAGGCTCATTGACCTCTTTCAATTGAGCACCTTTCGTCCTTTCCGATAATATTAGCCAAGTCAACAATAGATCTGATGGATGCGGTTTCTGCTCACTTGAAAATTCAACAGAAACTCAATAGGGACCTAATCATCAAAGTTCCAGTAAATATAAACTCTGTAAAATGTAGAGGATACAAAATATTTTTAATCTGTGTAGCACCAAAATAAAAAAGGTAAAGAAATCTCCTTCTCAGTTTCTTTCAATACATCTTTTAAAAATCCTTCAATCCATCTCCAATTCATCATTTGATAAGAGCTACTTTATTTCAAGGCACTCATTTGATATAACCACTTAGCTGAAATATTTTTATAAGTAGTGCACCTGGTTAAATAACAAAGCCGTTAAAATCATTTGGTAAAAGGCCAAATATTTACTTCAGTCTTTTAACAATCTACTTTTGTAAAATTAATGGGACCACTTCTGCCGCACAGTGTCAATGCGGAAACCCACACACGCTTGGTAACATTCTCACTTCTCCATTAAGCTGTAAACTCAAGCACACTTTTATATCTGAATGAATGATCTCTTAATGGTGATTATAGGGGGGGGGGAGGTTATTGATGTGCCATTTGAACAGGAAGGTTGCTCAGTAAGTGTGTATTTGTGTGTGTGCGCGTGTTCATACCGGCGGCGATATGCCACGACCAGAAAGAGGCTTTCTTACACACATATAGACACGCACACCTGACCTTTTCAAAATCCTTCTGACATTTACAGGGCCGGTGCGAAGGGGCAAGGACGGCTCATTTACATAATGACAAGACCTAACTGCGACAGCCATTAACACAAAACCAAACCAAGACTGAAGCCCAGCACTCCACTGGGACTAATGAGATACTAAGGACTTACTTCTTCTTCTTTTATTGGGGGGGGGAATCTCCAGCCACGATGATCCATCAACTACTTTCCTCTTAATAGACAGAGTGTAATGCTAGTTCACAGTTGTAATGATTAATGTTTTCAGGCTTGGCAGGACTGAACTATTCACACAGAATGTCTCCATGTGGAGGAGAAATGTTGGAGCTAATGGTGGTTGCACAAGTTATTGCACAAGTATGAGTGCCAAAAGAAACATGACTTCATCAGGGTTAGAGGTGGTTTTAGATGTGTGTTTGAGGGAGGGCAGAAAATGCAATATATTTTCATGAGATATTACGAAATTAACTGTTGATATTATGTGAGACAAAAAACACACACCCTGTCTCCCACTGAGCAGAAATCCTACAGCCATGGTGACTGTCTTTTGTCAGATCACGTGCTGTTTATTTTACTGTCTGCATGTTGTTTCTGTTATAAACAGCATGGCCTTCAGCCCAAAGAGAGCAGGGGTGAAAAGGGGGAGGGAGGTGAGGCCATTAGAATAAACTAATAACTACCGTCATTCAAACAAAAGGACAGAAAAGAATAAAAAAATATCTGAAAATAAGAATGAGACGAGAACAAGGCCCTGTATGTTCTCAAAGGGAGGGAAGGGGGAGGGATGGCGGGAGAGAGGAAGGTTTCAAGTGGCGGGTGGGAAAAAAGAGGAGGTGGGGGCACTGCCCGGTTTTCCAGCAAATCCTGAAACCACCCTGCAAAAAATAAAAATTTTTTAAAAAAAGCCACCTGTTTCCCCGAAAACTCTCAAAGTCATAAGGAACATCTTTTGCATCTGAATGAGGTTTGCTGGAGGCTTTCAGGTACACTAAGACAAACATTGGATTACTTGTGCGCAGAGAAGGAAGCGGCCTCCTCCCCCGGCCCTGACCCTGCATGCACAACAGTTTCTCAGGCAGCCAGCCAGCCAGCCACCCCCTGCACGCACGCAGCTTACTCAGCCAGAAAGACAATGCTGCCATAGCCTCATACTACATCCCCCCCGCCAAAACTCCCCCCCCTCACAAGCCCACCCCTCTCCATGGTAATGGGCCAAGCCTTTCTGACCCACATCCATGGTCCCTCTCAACCTTGACTTGGGGTTGGGGGTGGTATTATAGTGTAATTTCAGAGCTTAGACTTGGACCCCCACCTGTCAGCTTCTATTAAGTTTCATATACATGAGTAGCTAAAGCAGCCTATACCTTAATTAAAAACCCATCAAATTCCAAGTTGTATTTTAAAGACTCCAGCTAAGCCACATTATACTGAAAACTTTGCAGAGAATTAAATCTCTTCTCCCGCTCTCAGACAGAGGATGGAAGGTGGAGGTGTAAGTGGTTTCTGTCACCACTTGAGAGGGAATGGAAAACCAAAAATGCAAAGTAGACAAGTGAAAAGTTTCAGCTCTGCGGTAGCAGAATTGAAGTAGCAAAAGCTTAACTATTACCCAAAAGGAGGTCAGAGGTTCACTTTGAAAAATGACTCAAAAGAAAGAAAATGAAGAGCAGCGTTTTCTCTCTTACTGGCTAGGACTTGTATGTTTTCTCGCTCATAAATATGTAAAACCTTTTGTTTTGTTTCCCCCACTTTTTTCTACCCCTTGCGAGCACTTTGTGTAGTGTAAAATGTAATCGGACAGAAAAAAAAAAAAGTCCAGCGCATGAATAAGTCAAAACGGGAGATGTGCTTATAAGTCATGATTACAACAACACCACAATCAACTGCATTACTGTACTCTACTGGAAATGTACACTGTATCTGTTCCAGCATGCTAGATGGATTCTAGCCCTACATTCTTGCCCCAATTACAGCACAAAACAAATAGCTGGCCTAGCAAGAAAGCTGAGAATATGTTGAACTGGTTTCATGCCACACACATTCATATGGTAATCGGTTAACCACATGCCAGGAATGTTTTCTTTCTCTCATTTTTAAAACCTACTCACTGTGGCAGTGATACCTGTAGGCCAATAAGCTGAAGTGGACTGGAAAACACCTGAATAATTAACCTAGACAGGTTTCTATAGAGGCAATGGATGTTTCCCCCCCCACCCTATTTATAACATAAACTAACTACCAATATAATTAGAGTGGAAACTGATAAAAGAACAATTGCAAAGTAAGCTACCAAGGTTAAACGATTTGTCACCGGGGCAAATTTTAAGGTTACGGTAACCCCCCCACTGTTACACACAAGTAGCCTACATTATGAGCTCTTTTTCCCCATTTTCCTCCACTGAACTGTTACTAATAGAGGGTGAAGTGCGGGCAGAGGGGAGAAAAAGAGACGGTGTGTTGGAGTATAAAAGGGTGGCTTCAGGGTAAAGAGTAGCCTACGAAGGGCAAACTGGAACAGTGGCTCAATTTTAAAGAGGCCAAGAGGACACAAGAGATGTAGCCTACCTGCGACTGAACACCTTGCTACAGAGAGCCACACCTTAGAAAACTAAACATGGCGTGGAGTCACTTGACCGAAACTCGGGTCAGAGAGCGACACAGATGGCTCATGCCACCAAACTCGCTGGGAATGAGGAAACACAAAACGGTGTTGTGAAACCATTTCATTTTTAAATTCTTAAAAATGTTAAGGATAAACGGAAAACCTCGCCAGCAGCCTTCAACGAAAAAGAAAATCACCTGCCTCCTGTCTCCGCCCTGACAGGTGGTAGTCAGGTTTAAATTTATCACCTCTTTTCAATTATTTAAGCTCTGAGAATAAATGAAAGGCAGTGGGGCTACTTACAAGGGAATGGACATGATCAAGTTTTCCAGAAGAGGTCATTTCTTACCGTGTTGTAGAAGTATCGACGCCACCAAGCAGAGCAATCCGGTCATTTTTGAGTAGTCATGCCAATTTCGGGCGTCATGTCTCGCCATGGTTGGTAAGGATCCTCTCCGCTGTCTCCGAAGCGCACGTATAAATGAAACCTTCGGTCAGTTTCGGCGTACTATAGCCTACCACTCACTCAAGGCAAATTTAAAAACTTGTTCGGCGTCCGGACAGAGCAGGGGGTCCGATAAAGATTCCTGTAAGTGTCCCTCACTGCACCTTTAAGACAGTAGTCTGTTAAATAAATGGGGAAAATCCTCGTGGACTTGGTCCTGGCAGCGCACAGGTGAATATTCCCCCCAGCTGGAGCTGTGTAGGTGTAATGAACTGATGGCGCTCTCGCTCTGCTCCAACAACTAGCCTATCTGAATGTGTGAGCGCGCGGCTGTCCGACTGAGTGTGACTGGCTGGATGATGTCATCAGGGTAAGAGGCGTCACAGCCAAACTTCCCCCCCCCCAAAAAAAAAAAATCCCACCAGGACCAGCGAGAGAGAGAGAGAGAGAGAGAGAGAGGGGGGGGGACAACTTGTTGAAATCGTCAAAATCAGATTTACATTGGTAAACACAACAAAGTGCCCGCGAGCTCTCTCTAGAAAAGTGCGCGTTGCAGGTTGAGTGGAAAATGGCAATGATGCAAAAGCACGATTCTTATCAGGTATGTCCTCACTTAGATGCAGACTATTTAACAAGCCGCATACCCTCAGATCCTCCCTTCCGCATAATAATAAACGAATTACCAATCATGTGTGGATGCTCACTTCGGAAAAGACGCAGGCTTTTCAGTCTAAAAATAACAAGTTTATACAGTTCATCCAAGTTAGACCATTTTAATACAGTGGAAGGATGGACGCGGACGCGGATGATTCTTCCGCCCTCTGCTGTTTGCTCCTGCACGCACATCTGAGATTAGCTCATACAAACTCACAAACTCCAGCAGATGCCATAATCAATAAACATTCATTAATGAACGGCAAATTACAAATCCAGTGGCAGTCAGCAAAATCAAATCAAGAGGAAGCAGCTTGTTGTGTCTATTTGCAGACTCCAGCAGCCTGTCTGTTGATAAGTAATTTCTTCTTCTTTCCACAGAATAATTCCAATTCATTTTTGCCCTATTTTTCCTCTGGAGCAGGGTGCACAGTAGCATAACGAAGGCATTATCTGGTTTAGGTCTAATCCCTATGCCCAAGTGTTTTACAGCCAATGTAATTACATCTTCATAAGTCCCACAGTATAAATCGTTCTGCACAGTCCCTCCTGTTCTCCTTCATTTCCAAGTTCCCCTTGAGTGTCCCCATCTTTTTCTTCAGACAGCGTTTTTGAGATTCAAATTGTGAGGATACTGATAATGACCAGGGGCCCAAACATGTTCTGCCAATAAGAAAAAAAAATATGATATGTCCTTCTTTTGGAGGTTTGTCTTCCAAGAGAAAGGATTTCCTTGTTTTCTCTCCTCACTTTAAATCCACACTGTGAGAGCATCTGCCATGCAAACAAAGCAGCTGTGGGTTTGAAATGCCAGTGGTACTTTGCATTGCCATATTCTAATTTGCAGCCGTCTTCTGGCCCTGTGAACCTGAAAGTTTGAGCTCCGGCACAGTCAGAGAAAAGTGTGCAGGGACCATCCACACACAACCATTTCCAACGCTAAATTGCATGCATTCATTGCAGAATAAGGAGCTTTAAAGAAAGTGGCCAGCAAATGGAGGATTTCATTCCTGCTTCTTCCCCACACTCATCCATTTTTCATACCGTACCAAATCGACCTTCACACCTTCCACTTTCTAGCTACCACCCACTTTACTTATACAGTACCTCACCTCATTTTTTTCTGTATCCCACACCCCTAACATCTTCCCTGGGTTTACACGTCTCCTCCTTCCACCTCATTCCTCCCCCTTTCCTCCCTCCCTCTCCCCATCTTCTTCCCTGTGTTATTTGATTTCCTTTTGTCCACTCGTCCTTCACTCCTTGCTGCTATTCAGCCTGTCCTCCATCCCATCCCGTGCTCTCTGGGGGTCTGTGGCAGTGATAATGAAGCGCGTAGTTAACAGATATTAGCTCATTGGCAGTGGATTCATTAGACAGAGCCAAGGCTTATGGTGATTATTTACCCGTAGAGGAGGGGCCACAGGATCAGCCCCACGCTCTGTGTCAGCAGCCACAGGCTTCTTTTTGAAGTCACGCTGCAACACTCTCTCACACTTCTCCTCTCTTTCTGTCTGAGCACTTCTCCCTCCACATTTCTCTCTCTTTCCTGCTTTTTTCTCTCTCTATCCCTGTCATTAGACACCCACAATACATATCTGCTTTCTCTCCCTCTCCTTCTCTCTCTCTATCTCTCTTCACCGCCCCCATTCACCCACTGGTAATTATGGAAAAATCTGTAATAGTGCTCAGAGGAGCTGATAATACCTTTAGCTTAATTAAAGACATTTATTGGATGTAAAGACATGTAGCCCAGGGGTTGCTGTGCACCCACACTAACCCAAACTCTTTATTTCTTGCTTTTTGATCTCCACCAATCCCTCACTTTCTGCTATTCTTATCGTTTTCTCGGTTTCACACACACTTTGTGATACACAAGAGAACATGCTCACTCCCTTTGTTAAAGCAAATGTTTGGGTCAGAAGTTCTGTCACTAATTGCCCAGAAGTTTTTGTCGTCAAATATTCTACATTAAGTCTTGTGTGGGGTTATGTTAATGCCAGAATATGTGGTCTATCAGCCTCAAACACACAAAAATGTGCAAAAATGACAGTCCTTTCCTGTTGATAATCCGAGCGTTGTTCCTACCACATCCTGTTGGACTGAAAGATGAACAGCTAGCTTGTTAACATGTCACTCAGGGACAGCAGTAATAAAGTGGGAAAGTGAACAATACTTGGATGTTCTGGTGGAGCGTACTTAGAAAGGTCATGGTGTTGGAGAGACAGCTGGTGCAGTGCGAATGCTTTTTCTTTTTTTCTTTGAGTGTGAGATGGAGTCTGGTTTTCTCACCTTTATTCTTGTGCTTTCATATGCAGTATCTTCTTTTGGCATCCCAGGTATGAAATACTTAATGTGTTTTTAAGAGAGATATTGTTATGATTCGGTTTTGTATTTTGTAGATTTTCAGAGTTTAGATTTCGTCCTTGGTTTAGTTCTCATTCTTCCCTGGTGTTAATTGTTTCCCTTGTGTTTTATCTTAATGTTTATAGTTTAATCTTCAGTGTTTCCTGTTTCCTGTTTTGTAATCTGTTATCCTGTTTCTTTATGTTTAGTGTGTATTTTTGTTGTTACATTTTTTGTTCTCTGTGTCATTAGTGTTCCCTAATTTATGTTGTAGTTCTCTAGTCCTGTATTTCTTCCTGCCGCTGTGTTTTCCCTCCTGTTCTGATTGTCCTCAACTTTGTCTTGTTGGCCTCACCTGTGTTTGATTACCCTGTCTTTTTAGTCTCTGTGTTTCTTTCCTTCTGTGTCAGATCATTGTTAGTTTTTGGCTGTATGTCGGCCTTATACTTACCTGTGCTTCCCAGTGTTTTTCCTATTGCTCCTTATTTCCCTTTTGATCTTTCTGTATTTATTGTTGGACATTTTAAAGTGAGTTTTTGTTTAATTCAATATTTTATTTTGGTATCTGCAATTGGGTCCAGTTCCTTGTTTTCCACTACCGTGACAGATATATTTCTGCTGCATTTGAAACCGATCTGTAGCTAAGGTTGCTTTAAAAACGTCATTCTCTGGTACACTTTACATTTTATAATCTAATCCAGACAAAAGAATAAATTCACATTTTCTTACGTCTGTGTTAAACAACACTTAGGCTACATGCCCGTGTCCACTGTCAGCATTATCAGTTGTTTGACTTCTTATCCTGTTCATATTAACTCAGTGGGAAAAATAGTTTTGAATGCATTCAAAGATAATATGGTTCTTCAGTAGTGTGTTTTTCATAAATCAAATTGTTAGGTTCAAAAGTAACAGTCTTCCAAAGGTACTGTCTTTATAATACTCAGCTGCTGAAGCAACGAAACAGTAAAAGGGAAATTTGGTACCAAAAAGTCTGACTGGAAGAAACCTATTAAATTTGACTGAGGAACTCCCACAGAATTAGGGAAGTTACTTTTGTTCCCTGCCACTTTATGCCGATATTTACGATAATTACTTACTGAACTATATAGATAGGAAAAACAGATACCCAGACCAATAACTCTTTCAATGTTCTTGTGTTCTAAGAAAAACTTGAAATATCTGAACCCAGATAAGTACAGAATGAAAACAAGACATCTGCACTGCGGTCAAAAACCAAGAGTTTTCTCAAACTTTCCGCTGAATAATAAATCTGTTGTGAGGCTAAACCTTTCTGTCATGTCTCCCTCAGTCTGGGACGATGTTGTGGTGGTCAGAGAGGGACAGCCCGCCATTCTGGTCTGCACTGGTAAAATAGTGAGGGGGGCTGTGACCATTGACTGGTTGATGAAACCAGATGGGGCGAAAGTCTGGAAACCGGTTCTCTCAGCCAACGAGAGGAACGAGATCTCTGTAGGCGCCTCGAAAGCATCCATGCGATTGACTGACCTGAACTATCAAGACAGTGGGAATTTCTCTCTGTTCTTTCTTCCAAAAATGGAGGACGGCGGCTTCTACTCATGCTTGGTAAAGCAACAAAAGTGGAAGCAAAAGGAGAGGATTATCCTCTTAGCTATACTTACAGGTACAAAAATCAACAGGTCATATGTGAGGATCTCACACCACAGTGCCCAACAGGAATGTCTTCTTCACTCTGCACTTCACTGCTTTTCTGTTTTTTAGTTTGTCGAGCAATGATGTAACTGGTAGTTCAGATCAATATGTAACGTTAAAGTATTCATATCTTTAGTTTGTTGTTTTTGATTCAAGTGATGTGTGTGTTCTTTTTATCCTTTAAATCTTTCTCTTGATATGCCCTCTTATAAAATGTTACATAACTAATAACTGCTTGATGCAGAAGATATTACATTTGCAAAAGTCACTCTTCATTTATGTTCCCTGCTGTGATGCACTGTTACTCAAGTCATTCATTCAAGTTGTTTTGATGTACTTGTCTTGGGCCTTACTTGAGTACTTCAGTTTTTGCAGGCATCTCCATAACTCATTTCTGAAGCCCCATGTTACTCTGGGAATTATTATTTTAGATCCAAATCACATTATCCACTTATGAAAGATGTTAAAAAGAAATTTGAATATTAAACAGTAATTACCCACAAGATAATCTGCAAATGTATTTTAATTAACCTCTCAAGTTCAACCAAATAGATGCTTTTATTTGTTTAAAATCCTGATAAACTTAATATCTTTGGGTTTCTAAGATTAAACTACCCATTAATATTGTGCAGTTTAAGTGAGCTTAATCTCACCCAAATGCAACAATAAACTGTTTGCACCACTGA